TATCCTAGATGAAATGGGAATTCAATGCTTGGCTGTTTCCCATAAGATGTTGCCCAGACGATACAGTATTTTGGGAGGAATAACTTCACATTATAGACATTTGAAGACATAACTTGAACTATAGAAGCAAATCTCATTTGCTTTTGCACCAAAAATGGGATAACGGAAAACCAGTCACAGTGTGTGGATTTGCCAAACTAAATTAAGCTACCTTCTGGAGTTTCGTGGATAAGTATGTTGATTTGTAAAACTTGTAAAACACTGAGTTATGATGTAATGGCGTGAAAAGGACACGGCCAGCTAACAATTCTAATTGAGACTACTGTTTGCTGGGTGTAACCCTCTAGGAGGGAAGAGTGAATCAACACATTTTAACAGAATCATTTAAGTACACCAGGAAGCTTCCTGCTTAAACCTACTAAATCATTTCAAAACCAAAAGGAGCCCCGTAATAGTGGGGATAATTGCTTCTGATATTGTTTTGTAAATGAGTACTATCATGCTGAGCTTTCTCGAAACTTCTGGGACACGATTGTCTTTGTGTTTGCACACTCACACGTACACTCCACGCGCATACACATACCTGAGGAAAACATGTCCTGGGTGCTGCTGGGCTGAATCGTACCTAGTTGCGAAGTTTCATGTTTTAAGGTTGTTGGACAATTTGAAAACACGAGATGAATATATAATAAGTCATTGGGATTCCTTGAAGAAATCATTGATTTTGCTGAAATGTTTTCCAATATAGTTTAAATAAATTGATTTGTTTGCTTCTCTGGCTATCATCTGATTAGTATAACAAGCCTCCTTTTCCACCATTCGTAAGAATTTAGTTCCTAAACAAGCAATCCTCTGGGCACAACACTGAAACACAGACTTTTCCAGAACCGACCAATGTGTGCCAGAAAAGTATCTTTATGGGAGCAAAACAAACTTCACTTTATGTCATCAGCAGGACAGAAAGATTTTCCAGAGACCAGAAAATAGGCATTCAATATCCAAGGACACATGAAAATGTACTGTGCACCAGGTTCTGGTTAGACTTTTATAGAGGGGAACATCCTTTTTCTTTCTCTTAGATTATTCAGGAATCAGTGTTACTGAAAATCTGATTTCCATAGACTAGGCAGAAGGGGGCACAATGCCAAGATTATTGGAGATAAAATTCCAGAATGCTAGACTGAGGGTCAAGGAAAAAGACATGTAGTTACTGGTCTTTTTAATTCCTTTAATCTTACACCCTTGAAACAATGGATTATTTATTTTTTTTTTTTTGAAACAATGGATTATTAACTTCGATTTTTTTTCAATTTCAGATGCCCGCTTGAAAGTTGTGAGATTATCTATTTAGCAGGCTTACCTGCCTAATGGAGTTCTTCTAGCTAGAATGAAATAAATGCACGATAATTGCTTCTAATCCCCTTTTATTTTCTCCAGACAGGTGGGGGAACACTGTCATCAGTGCTCTTAGAGTCCGTTTTTGAGCCTTCTGATTTCCCACGACCTCCATAAGAAGCAGATTTGGAAGTAGTTACAAAAGGAAAGACAGCTGGAAAAAGTTCGTGAAAGATGCTGTTTTGCTTGGAAATGTATTTGGGGTCATTTGTAGGAGGAAAGTCAGTACTTTCTCTTATGCAAACAAGGTCAGTTTTTAAAATCCGGGAGGTGTGCAATTATGCTACAATTAAGTGTGTTTACTCTGGGTATAAGTCACAGATACTTACAACAGATCCATTTTTTTTTCTGTTTATAATAAAGTTATAGCTTTAATGAAAGCCTGAATTACAATTCGAATGGTTTATGAACCATATTGATTTAGTTATATTTGCCAAATACTCTTTTAAGTTTCTCACCTCAAATTAATATGTACATTTGGAATGAGTGGACTGGGGACTTACCATTGTATGTTACATATCTGGGGGCTCTCCCAGCCATCGCCCTGGCCCATCCCTGCTTTCTTTTTTCTAATGTGTGCCTTCCTCTGTTAAGGCCCAGATAAGCTGCCCCCAGGTCAAGTACTCATGAATGTCGCAGTCCCCAACTGGGGAACAGGCAGGCAGGTGCATTGGGGGCAGAGGCCTTCCACATCCCCCAAAAGTAGGGTGGGAGGAGGAGCAGGATAATAAGGGAGCCCTGTGCTGGTCTAGTCAACTGCTGGGGAGTGGCGGTGACCCCAGTAATCCCAGGTGCAGAATGGTGGGGATGTCCCCACCTGAGGGAAACCAAGGCTCTGTATGCCCAAGGAGGGTCCAGGGAAAGCAGAGGGGACAAGAGCTCATGCCCCAGGCTGGTGGCTCTCCTGGGAACCACCCCCAAGAGTGAATGCTTATGGTGGGGAGGGTCTGGACAGGGTCCCCTTGGCAGACTTGCTGTGAGTCGGGGTGCAGGCTCTGTGAATGGCAAGTGAAGTTCTGGGTGGCTCAGGTCCTCCCCTGCTCAGGCCCCAAGCTGTGCTTGTCAGAGCCTCCCCAGCACATGACCTAAGCCCACTCAATTGCCTCCACTCTGTGGAAAGTAGCCCAGAAACCAGCAACCACGATATCTAGCCACAGGTCCTCACAGGGGCCTCCCCAGGCTCCATGCACTCAGCCCCTCTCAGGCAGCTCCCCAAGACAGCATGAGGATCAGAAGCCCATTGTCTTGGGGGAGGCACCTGCTTTCTTCCACATCTGCACCGCATCTGCTGTGGGCGAGACCACATGGGAAGGTGGGTCAGCTCCTAAGCGCCCTGGGCCTCAGGCTTTTCAGAGGGAACTTCTCGGAGTGGATACTGTGGGGTGGAGAGCCATGTGAGCTAGTTCACGAATTCAAGAGTACAAAATGTTTTCTTTTATTTCTATAACTGAGTTTAATTTCTATTTTGAGCCCCATTCTACCAGGGGTACAGACTAAATCTAGGCTGAGCATTTATTCAACCCACACATTCATCCCTGAAGCTGGAATGAACGCTGTTCCAACTCTCCTTGTGATTCAGAAGCCACCCCAGGGCCTTTAAAGCTTCAGTCCATTACGAATAACGTCAGCTTTTGCTGAGCAATTAAAAATGCTTTTATGATGGAAAATTTCATATATTTATGAAGATGGATGGATAGCATATGCAACCCATATACCCACCACCCAGCTGTAGCAATTAGCAACAAAATGTCTCTCATGTTATACTTAGGCTCCCACTCATGAACCTTGACAACTGGGTTAAAACTGGAAGCAAATCCCAGTATCATACTATTTCATCCATAAATCCTTTGACATAAGTCTCTGAAAGATATGGATTTGGGGGGGGTGCTGAGAATAGCATCCATTTATTGTTTCCTAGTTCTTTTAAGTCAGGAACCAGCTTTAGGTTAATTGGATCTTCTGCTCAGCATCTCTCAAGATAAGGATTCCTTCTGAAAAACGTTGATAATATCATCATAATACCTAAAAAATTAATAGTAATTCCCTTATATTAAATGTTCTTGGTTCAGTTTCTCCAATCATCTCATCTACTTTTAAAATAACTGCTCTATTAAGATCAGAATCCAAAAAAAGTTTCTGTACATTGTATTTGTTTAAAGAATCTCTTAAATCTCTCGAACCTATAGATTCCCACTGCTTCTCTGATTTTCATGCAATTTAAAAAAAAAAAACTCCTATCACCTCGATCTAAGAGTAGAGAATTCTTTGGGAACGTGTTGGTCACTTGGCCTGCAGAACAGAGCTTCTCAAAATTGAATGTGCATGGAAATCCCTGGGGATCTTAAGATGTACATTCTAGAGGGACGGGAGTAGAGCCTCCGAGGCCTGCATGTCTAACACCTTCCCGGGTGATCTGTATGCTGCTAGTGCAGGGACCACTCTCTGAACCACAGCCTGTTGAGCTCCATGCTACAGATTTTGCTGAGTTTGCTGATTGCATCCCTGAAGTGTTCACCTGTGTCCTGCATTTCCCATAAATTAGCATCTTGAAGCTTGACTGAATTCCTCTGGTCAGTTGTTTTGGCAAGAATCCTTCACAGGCAGTGCTGTCCACTTTCTACTGCATGGCATCGGGAGGACTGTCATGTCTGGCTGTCCCACTTCTAGTGATGTTAGGTGTGTAGAGTGGTGGGCCTGACCTTTCTATTCTTGAGATCTCTGTCAGTAGTTTTAGTAGCCGTTGATAGAACCATCGTCCAGATTAGTGGTTCTTAAAGCTGACTGCATGTCACCTAGAAGGATTCTAAAAAACACTGGTGCCAGAGTCCTTTTCCAAATCAATGAGGGACTCAGGCAGGGGGACAAGGGAAGAAGGAGAGAGAGAACATGCGTGTGTACTTGGGCACCTGCGTGTGTTTTAAGCCCCCAATGAGGTGATTCTAATAGGTTCCACATAGAGGGCTGAAAAGCAATAGGTCTAGGTGACTTTTTTTTTTTCATTCTGGTTTCCAACCTATCAATCTATCCTTTTTTCTTCACTTATTTTGCTGAGCTCTTAATGGTTTGAAGTGCTCTTTTAAAGACTGAGCCAGGTGACATGTTGCAAAATAAATCAGGTCCCACTCCTAGCAAGAAGCCACTCACACCTCTCCACACAGCCTCCCGTGCTCCCAGGGACCCACCTCTCCAGGGACCTCAAGCTACTTTTGAATGTCCAGAGCCTGTCTCCCCACCAAGGCCACCCCCTCATGTCCCACAAGCCTCACAGGTGATCCTGGGGGTGACGTGGAAGGGGTTTTAATTTCTGTACTACTTCACCTTTTTTAAGCGAGCGACGGTTTTCTTCTAAAAAAGCTATTTTCATTTTCGGAGGAAAAAGAAAGTGTGAAAAGACCCACCGTGCCTAACTCTGCACTTTTGCCTTAAATCCTAATGAGTCATCGAAAATCCTCTCGAATCCTGTCTCCAGGTTCCAGAGGACACCTGAATTAAAGTCCCGAGATTAATTTGGAAAGGGAAAAGCATCAGCCTCCCCTAATCTCACCCAGTTTTGCCAGTCTGGGCTGTGCTGGCAAGAGGAGGGAGGAGGATCTGACTAGATAAAAAGGAAAAGGATTGGAAAGCTAGAAGGTCATCACATGCTACAGGAGGAAAAGCTGGTCAGTCTTCTTTTTGAATTCTTTCTATCTGGCTTCCTCACTTGTCCTCTGTCTATATTTAAAAATGTATTGGTTATTCCATTCGGTGTTGAGAACACCAATGTGTGACGATAAACTCCATTTGTGAGATGGAACACGGAACATGGGTAGCCTTGGGGATGAGGAGCAGCTGTGATTTGGGACACAAGTCCAAAGCATGACTTTGCACTGCTCTGTCCGGTTGCATTTCTCTCCGCTCTCTCACTGTCTGTGCAGAAGAGTCTTCATCAGTCTTTCTCTGTCGGTTTGCAGGAAGCCTTAAGCATGGCAGGGAAACCCAAGCTTCACTACTTCAATGGCCGAGGCCGAATGGAGTCCATCCGGTGGCTCTTGGCTGCAGCAGGAGTAGAGGTAAGACGCTGGATTTATTCATATTATTTTCATCATGGGGTCGTTGAGCACTTCCTTGGGGAGCAGGTGTAGGAAACGCCTATGATTCCTGACCAAAAAGCCAATTTTGCCACCTGCCCTTTAGATACTAGGCTGTGAGTGAATGAGTTAGTTCTTTTAAGTACGCACCCAGATATCGTGGAAACTGGTTGTGGGGACTGAGCGGACCCACGGTGAAGTAATCATGACTAATAAAGAAAGGAAGGGAGGGGAAGGAGACAAGGAAGGAAGGAAGGAAGGAAGGGACTCGTTCTAGCAAACAGCCTCTTTTCAGTTCATCCCTGACAGCCAAGTGTTGGATTTATTTAACTACATTTGTCTCATGAATATTGAGAAACAGGTAGTTTTCTTTAAATGCACAGAAGGGTCTCAGAGATGCTGATGTAAGAACATATCATTCATTACCAAAAATATAACCATCCTATACTTTAATGAATTTTAAAAAGACTATTATCAGGGTGCCTGGGTGGCTCAGTGGGTTAAAGCCTGTGCCTTTGGCTCAGGTCATGATCTCAGGATCCTGGGATCGAGGCCTGCATCAGGCTCTCTGCTCAGCAGGGAGCCCGCTTCCCCCTCTCTCTCTGCCTGCCTCTCTGCCTACTTGTGATCTCTGTCTGTGTGTCAAATAAATAAATAAAATCTTTTTAAAAAATTCTATTCTCAACGTACTTCAAAGCTGCTATTGAAGTTTATACTGACCTTTCAAAGATAAATATTTGTATCTGTATACACATTCACTGTGAATATAAAGCAATTAGCCTCTTCTGTAACCCACGCAGAATTTTTTTTTTCTAGTCACTCCAAAGATGAAAGAACAGGGAGTTTTCTTCACACTCAGTGGTTTAACGTGCGAATAGCATGTAATCCCACTCACTCGGTACTTGTTAGGATGTTCTGTGTTCTGTTTGGGCCCTGACAGTAGACATGACATTCATTTGTTCACTAGAAGCGCAGATACCATATATGAACGCGGCTTAGGACACAGTTTATTATTTAAATATTTTATGAAACATGCCATTTTATGGTATCTGGTGGTACAGAAGATTGAAGACATTTTAGGAGAAGAGAACAGATGTTTTATACTAGAATCTGAAGAAACCCATGAAGCTGCTTCCCAGGAAAACACCCCATGTGCATATAATTGTAGGGACTCCAAGAAGCCACAAAATACACAACTGTATCCTAGGCCCCCAGGTTAAGAATTTCTGCTATAATAAAGCAGCAAATCCTTGTGAAAAGTTCATTATTACTTTTTTCAAAAATTATTTTGTTAGGAATTTTCTTAAACTTTAAATTAAAATTTTGAAAATATGTAAAGTATAAAGAACGTTATAATAAACAAACAAACATGATGCTACTATGTGGAATGAGAAATTACTGGTATTTTGTCATATTTGCCTTCAGTCTTTTTTTTTTTTTTTAAGATTTTTATTTATTTGACAGAGAGAGAGGGACAGGAAGAGAGGGATACACAAGCAGGGGGAGTTGGAGAGAGAGAAGCAGGCTTACCACCTATCAGGGAGCCTGATGTGGGGCTCCATTCCAGGACCCTGGGATCATGACCTGAGCCAAAGGCAGATGCTTAATGACTGAGCCACCCAGGTGCCCATTGCCTTCAGTCTTAAAAAAAGGGGGGGGGGTAATATATTCATATACTCTTAACAGATAAAGCTAAAATTCATTCATTCATTCTTTTTTTTTTTAAGATTTTATTTATTCATTTGACAGACAGAGATCACAAGCAGGCAGAGAGGCAGGCAGAGAGAGAGGAAGGGAAGCAGGCTCCCCGCTGGGCAGAGAGCCTGATGCAGTGCTTGCTCCCAAGACCCCGAGATCATGACCTGAGCTGAAGGCAGAGGCTTTAACCCACTGAGCCACCCAGGCGTCCCCAGATAAAGCTAAAATTCAGTCCAGCCATCACACCCATGTCCACTTAAATAACCCCTATCCAGTTAGTCCAGCCTTTATATTTTTACATTTATGTGTGTCCTCACCAAAAACTGACTTCTGTGCCTTTTGAAAGAATTTATGTGTTTCCCTTTGTGAATCATTCTATATTTTCCTCCTTGCACTCAATATTATGTCTTTGAGATCCATCCATACTGAGATGGATAAAAGAGAGAGGAATAAATGATGACAGCGGGGAATAAGGGTCATTCCTTGATAATTATTTTATAAATCCCAATTTTTATGTATTGTTGCATTAGCATTAGATCTGGATAAAATATTGCAAAGCACAGAGGAGACAACGTGAACTCAAAACCCACGTATCAAAAACATTCTAATTTCTCCAGAGGGGGCACTATTTTTTAGTATATAATAATTTAAAAAAATTTTTTTGAACTTGTCATTTCTTCAAAACAATAAAAGGACAATTCTTTCTGAACCATATGAAGGTCCTTCCTGGATCTTCTGACTCCTCACAGTTTTTATATTCAGAGTTGGTATTGTAGCTGGTCATAATTAGAAGAAAATTCTATAGTCAATATTGACCTTCCGTGACTGATTTTACGTTTTGATGTGAGTCATGGCAAATTTTCAAAAGTGCAATCCACATGCTCTCACACACACAACTTTGTTAAAATGGCCCTGCTTCATTTATTTTTAGAGCCCAGGGCCTCTCTTACAGTAAGCTTTCCAGCAAAAGGTATCGCTGAGGAAGACACACCCTTAAAAACAAAAACATTCAGGGGCGCCTGGGTGGCTCAGTGGGTTAAAGCCTCTGCCTTCAGCTCAGGTCATGATCCCAGGGTCGTGGGATTGAGCCTTCTGTCCAGCTCTTTGCTCCCTGCCTCCTCCCCTCTCTCTGCCTGCCTCTCTGCCTACTTGTGATCTCTCTCTCTGTCAAATAAATAAAATCTTTAAAAAACAAAACAAAACAAAATTCAGGTGGGAAACCTTTGCTGTGTGATCTGGTCAAACTCAGTCTAAACCTACCAGAAAATTCCCCGGATGGTATGTGGTCTGTGGAGCTTTGCTGTATCCCATGCTGGTCCATGGCCGCACCCAGACTATGAGTTCCTGGGTGCGGCCCTCTCCCCGGCCTGCTCTCAGGAATTGACCTGGTAACGCCTGGCTTGGAATTGGAGTTTGGGCTCCAAGTCCTGATCTTTTACAGCTTGGCCAAAGCAGATAGTAAAAGTTACCCTGGAGCACCTGACATGAGGTATTCGAGGAGAAATTGAAACCATAAAGGTATACTTTCCCCCCCATCACACTATATGATAGTCGTAAGTAATATTCAAATTTAGGAAAAATGCTTTTTGGGAAGGTTTTATACCCTTGTTATCCCTATCTGTATTCTCATATTTGATGTCAACTTTGGGGTGACTTTTTCCTAAGATTATCGAAATACAAATTACACAGTTAGCAAAATGATGCTATCTAAAATGTAGTGGGTTTGGAGGGAAGGGATTCTAGCCCTGGTTCTTCCACCTTTTAGCTGAGGGACTTTAGGGAAGTCACTTAACCTCTCTGGGCTTCATAAGCATCACACGAAGGCTTGGAAAAGAAGAGCACCAAGAGTTATAGTTAATGCTGGTCTTCAAGGTTTAGGAATGAGGGTGATCTGATATCTTGGTTTAATTTTAAATATCCAGGAACACCACCAGGGAACCACATTATCAATATCTTTTCTTAATATTTTTTCATCATTCCAAATTATACATGTAAAATTTAAAAATTATTTTTGTGACAGTGGGGGTAGAATAGAATCTTTGGGGGAAAAACTGTTTTCCAAGTACATGTTGGGTTTTCCATCTCTAATAATGATGACAGAAAGAATACAGAAAACTCATTTCATTTAAATTTTCTATTAAAATTATACTGTACAAAATGCACATGTCCAATCTATGGATGTGTTTTAAAGATAGATTTTAAAGTATCCAGAAGTTAACTGGTAATAATCTAACAAAACAGACATCTAAGACAAGATGTTGAAAGCAACAAGATACAAACTACACCTCGATTTATGTTTCCTTAATGCCACAAAGTGTTTTTTGAGTTTACTCAGTACTATTGTTCCATTGCCACCACGCAGTTCCTGAGATTTGCGGCAATTTTATTTCTCTGCGTCTAAGCCTCTTGGGTTTAAAAAGAGAATATAGAATAAAATGATCAAACTAACACTTGCTTGTTCTCGAATCCTGGAAATGAGGGACAACAAACACCACCCAAGGGAAAGTTCTGAGGCAAACAGTAACAACGTTCAATATTGAGCCAAACGTGAGAGTTAGTCTTCCTTAGATAGGATCTCTTTTAGCCATCATGACAACATCATGCGTAGGTAGTAGCTTCATTTTCACACATTAGGAAACTGAAATTAGAAGAGAGTAATTTATCTTATCTGAGCCAATGAAGGGGAGTAGTAGCCTGCTTTCAGATTGTGATCTGGGAAGTCTACCTGAAAGGCTCCGGCCACACAACAGGGGGTATCAGTGTCACTTGGTCACCTGAATTCAGTAAACCCTTCGCTTTGGTTTTATATAAAAATGTCCTTAGGTCCATCGAACCCGGAAAAGGCCAGTATGCATTCAATAATTACTTGAAACATTGGTTTCCTTGGTGGTTAGACCTTTTACTTCTACTCAACTCTTTTTCCATGATATCAAAAGTAAGAATAACAATAAAAATGATAGTAGCAACATATTCTTATGTTCTTTCTTTCGTTCTTTAGTTTGAAGAAGAACTTTTTGAAACACGTGAAGAATTTGAGAGATTAATCCAAGGTGAGGAAAAAAAGACTTGCATGTTTGCTACATTTGACCAAGGATGAGATCTCTGAGAGGCGCACACGCGCGCACACACAAACATATGTGCACACATATTCTAAGAGTGGAGAAAACTAGGCAGACAATATCTATGATATCTGTCAGGAAGGCAGCACTTGGGTCTTACAACAAGCAAATGGGTATTCACAGCAGGAGGAGCCCTGCCCCCGAGCTAAATTGTAATAATTTCAGCACCATCTCCTTTTTTCCTCAGCCCTAGGGATGATACTTTCTGTAGCTGTCACCTTCATGATACTGTATCGTCCCTTTGTTGCCTCTCAGGTCTCCAGGACCTAGTCGTCTTCTTTGTAACTCGGTATGCTTCAAGTAACTTCTGCCTCCATCTGGATCCTGGCTGATGTAGTTCGGGGGCAGGAAATGTCCTGACAGTGAAACCTGGAGGCAATTGCAGAAAAACCAGGATGTTCTTGCCATGGATTCAGTCCAGAGAACTGGCTCAACTTAAGGAAAAGTGGGAAAAGTGCCATCTTTACTGTTGCCTTTCTGAGGAAGCGTCAGACAGACTTGGACGGATGGAGGGAGGGAAGGATGGAGCAGAGAGAGTGGAATTCTTTTGAATTAAACCACTGCCCTTTTAAGTTGCCATTGTTGTGTAATGCAAGGATTCCCTGGAAGACTGAACAAGAAAGACAAAACAAAGAGCTGTCTCTCTGATGGGAGGCCGCTGGGACTCAGGTTCATGTAGGAGAGTTGGCATGGAACAATGTGAGAAAAGTACATGGAGGGAAATGTCAAGGAGTGCTTTGAATTCCAGGTTGAGGTTAAATGTTGTCTTCTAAGCGAAGAGGAGTAATGGAAAGGCTTAAGCTGGTGTTATGACTTAGGAAAACAAGCAGGCAGTGCATGTGGGAGAGATAAGAAGGGCCCATCTGCTCAGCATCACTCGTCATCTGGAAATGCAAATCAAAACCACAATGAGGGGTCACCTCACACCTGTCAGAATGGCTAAAACCAGTACCACGAGAAAAGACAAGTGTTGGTGAGGATGTGGAGAAAAAGGAACCCTCGTGCACTGTTGGGGGGAATGCAAGCTCCTGCAGCCACTGTGGAAAACAGACTGGAGGTTCCTCAAAAAGTTAAAAATAGAGCTACCCTCTGATCGAGGAATCCCACTCTTTGGGTATTGACCCAAAGAATATGAAAACAGTAATCCGAAGAGATATATGCACTCTATGTTTATCGCAGCACTATTTGCAATAGCCAAATGATGGCAGCGGTCCAAGTGTCCACCCATAGATGAATAGATAAAGAAGATGTGGTATCTGTATACCATGGAATATTACTCAGCGAAAAAAGGAATGAAATCTTGTCATTTGCAACGACATGGACCGACCTAGAGGGTACAATGCTAAGCAAAACAAGCCAGCCAGAGAAAGACAAATACGATATGACTTCACTCCTACGTGGAATTCAAGAAACAAGACCAATGAACAATGAAAACAAGAGACAAGCCAAAAAAACAAAAACAAAAACAAAAAGAAGCACAAAAAACCCCCCACCAGACTCTTAACTATAGAGAACAAAGTGGGAGGAGGGTGGGGGATGGGTGAAATAGGTGAAGGGGGTTAAAGAGCGCCCTCACCTTGGTGAGCTTGGGGGAATGCACAGAATTGCTGAATCCCTATATTGTATGCCTGGAACTAATAGAACAGCGTACGTTAACTGTCCTGGAATTAAAATTAAAAAGCTTAATTTAAAAAAAAAAAAAGGACATGGAGCACTGGGTGTAGGGCATAAACAATGAATTTTGGAACACACACACACAAAATTAAATTAAATTAAATTAAAAAAAAGAGGGCCCTGTGAGGGTTGAGTTAACAGCTAGGACATTATTAACAATGGTTTGGAGGGAAAGAGTCTCACCAGCAGGGTGGCCACAGGAATGGAGAATAATGATGAGAAAGGGACATTCTTGGCTAGAGAGAAAGCTTCTCTGCACTTTGTTGTATCTCCCAGAGGACGCAGCCCCAAGTCTTGCCCTCCGCATGTCTTTCTGTGAATAAATGCATACATATTTCTCCTTCTGGAGACGTCTCTAACATATTTTAATCCTATTCAATTACGTAGTCCCATCTGTAGCACCTTAAGAGTTAAAGAAGACTCCGTTGCTACCATCGGGGACAGTAAAGAGCCCAACTTTCCTTTGTACCTTTAAAGGTGGAACCCTGATGTATGAACAAGTGCCCATGGTCCAAATCGATGGAATGAATTTGGTAGAAACCAGAGCTATCCTACGATACCTAGCTGCAAAATGCAACTTGTACGGAAGGAACCTACAGGAACAAGCCTGGTAACAGCAACTACTTCTTACTTAAAACGAAATTAAAAAAAAAAAAAAAAAAAAAGGAAATTCTAACCCTTAGTCATGTTAGCAATCCTATGTAGTTCTTGATGGAATGAAAATTCTTTTCTTGTTTTTTAATTTCTTATTATGGAAAACTCTAACACATCAAAGGAGAGATAATGGTTAAATAAACCGTATGAACACATTTACTTTAAACAATTATCGATTTATGGCCAATTACCCAGTTTATTTCATTTTCTGATTCTGTATTGAGAACAAAGCAAGGACAAAAACCAGTGAAGGAAGTCTGCCTCTTCCTGTTGCAATCTCTGTTTCTCTCCACTAGGTGGGAGTAAAGCACAGGGTAAATCACAAGAACAAACTCAAAATTTGGAGTCGGTCGTTGGGAAACTGATTCCGGAAGTAGCCTTTGGAAACCACCTCCTTAGTCTCTGGTTCACCAGATAGCCCTCCCCTGCCCCCGCCGCCCGCCCCCCCCCAGTGTCCCACACATTCTTAATTTTCACATGTACACACTTGTCCCTTTGCAATGGGCAGACCTGTCTACAAACCAGCAAACAGTCTTGTCTTAACTGAATTTTAAAACAGCAACACTCAATTACAAATTATTGCACAGAATTAGAAAACTATTAGTTGGTAAACAACAAAGTCCACTTTTACCAAAGGGGGTGTGTGTTAAATAAATTTCTCATGGTTTTAAAGAGTATATATATTTTCAGAAACTTAACTTTAAAATGCTTAAAGCAGTAAAATTTTTGAAATAGATCTTGATTTTTAAATCTTAACATAAGCTTTCTCTTGCTTTCTAACCGAATCTGCCAAATTTCTGCTGATTGCATCCCAGCAGTGTAGTTTAACCCATTCTTCTGTCTCTGTGTTTCCTGTCATTTGGTTGTTAGATATAGAGGTTTTATCAGACTCAAGTTCTAGTGGTTTTTGCAGCACTATTTCATAGGTATTGGTGCATTCCCCAATCAGGAAGCAAAAAATGTCTGCTTGTCCTTTCTTTATGATAGTAACAGCCATTGGTGTTCAGTGCTATCATTCCTTCTGCATTTATTATCTGGGATACTTCTATAAAGAAAAACTTTCCTTCATCTTCCATCTGGTTATCTGGAATACAATTTCCTCTAGGAAAGACATGGTAGACTTTTGTTTACCAGTTTTCCAGATGAGTTGGTTCATCTGTGTCCTACCAATTAATTATTGTTATTGTTCTAGTGTCACTATGGGCTCTTCATTTTACGCATCTTTGATGCGTTTCAATTCACTTCAGTTGTTACTCTTATTTTTGCTCAAATTGTCCTACTCTTGGCCAGTGGGAGCGAAGTGGCTCCTGGAATGTTTGACCTTACTCTAGTGGTCTCTGATACTCCTTATTACCTCTTGGACAACCCAGATTAACCCGATACATCTCTTTCTTTTCTTTTTTTTTTTAAATTTAATTATTTGACAGAGGGAGAGAGAGATCACAAGTAGGCAGAGAGGCAGGGGGAAGCAGGCTCCCTGCTGAGCAGAGAGCCCGATGTGGGGCCCGATCCCAGGACCCTGAGATCATGACCTGAGCTATTTGCTGCAGACACCACATCTGAGGGTTCTGTGAGCCGGCAGGAATCAGCTGGATGGCACCCTTTCAGGGTCTCTCAGGCAGTTCTTCTCTCAGATGCCTGGTGCCTGGGTTGGGAGAGCTGGAACAAATGGGCCTGGCAGGGTATGTCTCTTCCTCCACATGACTTGACCAGCTTGAGCTTCTTCGATGAGGTGGCTGACTTCCCTCAGAGTGAAATTTTGTACTGCTCAGGTGGAAGCTTAAGGCGTCTTATGACCTAGTCTCGGAAGTCTCAGAAATTACTTCCCCACATTCTGTTGGTCAAGCATGTCCCCGAGGCGCATTCAGATTCAAAGAGAGAATGAGACTTATTCTCAATGGCAGAAGTAGCAAAGAATTTCAGGCCATTTCAAGATACTCATTGCTATTCTAGGTTAAAGCTAAAAGAACTATGGATCCAAAAGATTAGGAGACTCACTTTGGACCAGGACAGTGGTTTCCCAGTGCCCAGACCAGTAGTCTTTTCACTATGCCACGGTACCTTGTCTAACATGAAATCTATTTTTCGATTCATTCTGGCACAGAGATGTGAGTGGTGACAAGGGGGAACTTGTCCTGTCAGTCCTGTGCCTTCTTGAATTGTTCTACTAAGTTTGAGAACCTTCAATCCAGACAGAGAAGTTGTTGGCAGCATAGATGTCCCTGGTGATCTATTCCCCAACATTTATAGACAGGGGCCATTTCACTGTTATTATAACTTTAAAATAGTCAAATATGGTCTTTGCCTCATTTATGACTTTAGGATTATTTTAATACATTGTGTGTGTTTTAATTAGCACTTACATCACACAGTTGATATTCACACTCACATAATTGCTCCCACACTTTAGTCCTATTATTTTTCTATTTCTCAAATTGATCTTAAGATCTCAGAGGAAGAGCAGGCAGGCAGAAATACTTGGTTTTAACTCATGGGGCACTGAGATACCAGCCACGAGGCAGGAGGCACTCCAGCATTCGTTAACTTGTTTCTTTGGCTACTGAAATGATGGTTCCTTTATCTGCAACTCTTTTGAATTATGGACCCTTCTCTAGGATTGACATGTATGTAGAGGGCTTGAGAGACCTGAGCGACATGATTATGTTCTTTCCACTCTCCCTGCCTGGAGAAAAGGAGATGAATCTTGAATACATCCTTGAAAAAGCCACTACAAGATTCTTCCCTATGAGAAGGTAAGTGACAAACTTCTGTCTTGCCCTGTGACTTGGATCAAGGGGGAGAAAAAGCAATAAACTCTGAGTAGAGAACTTCAATAACCTCAAAGTAAAGAACTTCAGTGGATGAAAGATCCCAAAAACACTTTGTGAAAGCAAAACTTTTCCCTCCATTGCAGTTACAAAACAAGTCTGCCCTTCTTCCTCGCACCCCGGTCTTCTACATTTTGTTCTTTTTCTAAAGGATTTCATGGATAACTTCAGCAAAATTTGTGGTTCTAGTGCTGACAGAATTTCAGTTGCTTGATTTAATTCTGGAGTAAAAACCGAGTCTTATCAAGATGATTCTATGGGGGAAAAAAACCCCCACACTAATTAGAGAGGGAGAGTGAGGGGAAAGGATGGATATTATTTATAAAATACACTTCATAGTACCAAGGCTCAGGGGACTTTATAAGGCTTATCAGAATTCTACACAATACTGAAAATGTTAAGAAAACAATTTTTCCCCAAATAGTACTACTTTTCACTGTCTCTGCATTTTTTTTGAAGATTTTATTTATTTATTTGACAAACAGAGATCACAAGTAGGCAGAGAGGCAGGCAGAGAGAGAGGAGGAAGCAGGCTCCCCGCTGAGCAGAGAGCCCGACGCGGGGCTTGATCCCAGGACTCTGGGATCATAACCTGAGCCAAAGGCAGAGGCTTAACCCACTGAGCCACCCAGGCGCCACTTAAGCGATTTTTATCTTGTAGTTTTACCAATATCGACAATGGAATGAATGTTTAACATCACTATTCCCAAAGGCTTAAGTTTTTGTTGTGAGATACTATGAAGTACAGAGTGTTCTCTTGTGGCTAAAAACAGTTATCATCATCATCGTCGTCATCATCACCACAACAGAGCTAATCACCTGATGGTTCACTTCTGCTAAGTGCTTACTCTGTGCTAAGCACCGTGCCATGCATTTTGCATGCATGACTCTGTGTCATCCTTTAACTCCAGGAAAGATGTGTCATTGTTATCCCCATTTTGTAGACGAAGCAAGGTTTGCCTGATGGTGCACAACTCACCACACTGGGGCCTCTACTCAGGTCTCTCTACCTCCTCATCCCACATCCAAGTGCCACAAAGTCACAGAGTTTGAGGGCTAGACAATACCGTAGTGACCTTCTACTCCAACCTTTACATTCAATTGATTGTGACTCAAGGCGACCTCTAACTCAGAGCCCTATTAGAAGAAAATCTGCTTACAGAAATGAGGCGTGGGTCCCTGTGAGCACGATGTTCTCCCACAAAAAGCAGCACCCTACTAAGAATCCTGACCTCAAATGGTGTGAGTAGAGAATCATCACCCCAGACCTGGGAGGAACTCCAATCCTGGCTGTGGGGGTAAAATTATTCTATAAAGTTTCATAGAATAGGTACAGGGGATGTAATGAAAAGAAGACATAGGTGTGTGGAATTAGGCTGTTTCTGGGGTTCAGAAAACTCAGGAGGATTCAGGCTGTCCCACATCTTTTTTTTTTTTTTTAAGATTTTATTTATTTATCAGAGAGAGGGCACAAGCAGGGAGAGCGGCAGGCAGAGGGAGGAGCAGGCTCCCCGCCGAACAAGGAGCCTGATGAGGGACCTGATCCCAGGACCCTGGGACCATGACCTGAGCAGAAAGCAGGCGCTTAACCGCCTGAGCCACCCAAGTGCCCTTATCCCACCTCTTTTGATGAACAAGCTGAAACCCTCAGAGATGGGATTCATATGTGCTCACACAGCTAGCCAGAGGCCAAGATTAGGAGCCAGGTCTCTAAACGTCCGGAAGACTTTCTGCCAAATCGCCCTGACTTTAAGTCATCTGCTAGGTGTGCTCCTAAATCCTCTACCTTCTTCTCAACTATCCTGTAGGCACTCAGAGACCATGGGCAAGATTTCCTCGTGGGCGATCGGCTGAGCTGGGCTGATATACAGCTCCTAGAAGTCATCTTAATGGCGGAAGAGTGCAAAGCCAATGTCCTAGCAGGCTTCCCTCTGCTACAGGTAGTGCTACCCAAATAACTCCCAAGAACTGCAGGAAGGGTGAATTTGTATCATTCACTTATCCCTTCATTCAGTCATTCATTATGACTGAAGAACCCACTAACTGCTTTATGCCAAGACCTGCCCGAAAGACACAAAGATGCCCTCAAGGAACACATCTAGTGGGTGAAACAAGCACATAGATTATAACGTCGATATAAGGTAGCAAGTTTAAAAATAAAGTGGAATAGGAAAGCTGATGAGGGCCATCTGGGCCAGCATGGGGATCTGAGGCTGACTTCTGACAGGCTTTCAGTCTCGAAGGTTTTGCCCTGATGTAGCAGAATCTTGATAAGATGACAGAAAACATTTAGGATATTACCATCCTAACACAGTCACTATTTAACAATAACCATAACCATCAACTACACTCTTATGTGGCGAGCATTGTAACAAACACTAAAGGCACAATATCTCACTGATGTTATTCCATTCTCAAAATGGATAGGAAACAAGGCTCCAGGAGGTGCAATAACTTTGCCTCAAGCTATATGGTCAGCAGGGGTTGGGACCCGGATGCTACCCTCGGCCTGATCCCATGGCTGTGTTGATGGATTCCTTTCTAACCTTTTAAAAATATGCTTCTTTAAAATAGTAGTTGTTCAAGTTGGGGTAATTCTGCAGCCACAATTTCCCACTTTACCTTATGCTTTAAGCATGTTTTGGTATTTTTATGTAGTCTACCTCATTTGGATACAACATGATCTTCTATTGTTTAAAAATCTCATGATTATATAAAATTCTATGTGCTGTGTTCAGAATAACCTTATTTTAAATGCTGAAAATCATAAACAATTGAAATATTCAGTACTTGAAAAGGGTCTACATAAATGAAGACCCATCCATTGGGTAGAATTGTATGCAACACCTAAAGGTGTATTTTCCAAGATTACAGAATGACATGGAAAAATCCTCATGACATAAGGACTTCTATTTATTAATTATTCATTAGGATTCTCTGGAATATTTATGTTTATGAATAATGTTACAACAGCACCTTCATGGGAATACATTTTTCCACATTTAAGATGGTATCATTAGGATGCAGTCTGAAAAATGGGGTCACGTGATTACAGTCTATGAACATTTTTGTGGTTCTTGAGAAATATTGCTAACTTGGTTTGTATGAGGGTAGTATTGCTTCACAAAGCCACACGATGAATGAAAACTCCATTTTATCCCCTGCTCCTACCAGCTATAAGGAATATAATTTTTACACACTTTCTGTCACATGCAAAAATATGCATCATTTATATTTTGTCTGTTTTGCCATATTCTCTTCTCATGGATAGCATACTTCTGCATTTTAGGAATTCAAGGCCAGAATCAGCTACATTCCCACAATTCACAAATTTCTGCAGCCTGGAAGCCAAAGGAAGCCTCCACTAGATGAAGTTTCCATTGAGACCGTGAAGAACATCTTCAAATTTGAATGTGGCATGTTTCTCAAAAACATGGGCACTATAGTAGCCAAGTATTAGCAAAGAGTTCTCAAGAACTCATAAATGTTTCACTTTGCTTTCACAGCAGTGCCTAGAGCAATACCATCAGGCCACTTTAATAAAATAATAAGCAAAAGGAAATAAACTACCAAATACTTTGTAAATCGGACAACTCTTTTCCATAAAACAATAGAACACCAATAAATCAGAACCATCCAAATAAAGATTCTTCTGCATTCTACTTTTTGCAAAAGAGTAAAATTGTAAGTAAGTCAACAGATCTCAAGGGCTTCTTTAAAAAACAAAACACCCCACAAATATAAATACTGCCACTCACTTCCACGTCCTTTTGGAAAAAGTCCAGAACAGGGCATAGCTTCAAGCTAGTTTCTTATTATTCTTTTTTTTAGATTTTATTTAATTTTATTTTTGAAAGATTTTATTTATTAGCAGGAGAGAGAAAGAGAGAGAGAAAAAACATGAGTTGGGGTGAGAGGCAGAAGCCGAAGGAGAAGCAGGCTCCCTGCTGAGCAGCCCCTGTGGGACTCTAACCCAGGACCCTGAGATCATGACCTGAGCCAAAGGCAGAGGCTTAACCCACTGAGCCACCCAGGCACCCCTAGTTTCTAACTTTCAATCACTAGAGTAATTTTACAGATATGGCATATATTTTTATAATCAATTTCACATTTAGTTTCTACTTTTATACTTTTTTCAAACTATAATCATAGTCTGGGGTTTCTATTTGGTTAAACTGGTAAGTTCTTTCTTTATTCCTTCCTTCCCTTAATTGAATTATGTATCACTGGAAGCCTAATGCCATCCTTGAAAGTCGGCTGGGAAAAGAAACTGAACACAATAGTACCAGTTGGGGCTCCACCCACCACTTCATATAAAGAATGGGTTTGTAATCCAACACCATGGGGTAGAGGCAACGGGATCAACATGGCAGCTTTTTAGAGCTTTAAGGGATCTCATCAAACCGTTTACTCCCAATTCCTCCTTAAGGATGAGAAACTGAGACCCAGAAAGAATAAAGGACCTTTCAAAGAACCTATAACCAGTCAGTGGGAGAACTGGGCTCGAAGTCAGGTCTCTTGACGTTTAGTCTGGGGCCTAAAAGTAAATGCTGTGGACAGTGTCCTAACTCTACCTAAAAATGAAGTGGTGATTTGGGACAAAATGGGCAAAATCATTTTTGTTTCAGAATTCTTACTGTTCCAGCAAGGGAGGACACCTGCTGTGGAGGAAGAGCTCCCAGTCTCTTTCTTGAATAATCGAACATCTAAATGTTGAACATGATTCGCGTATAGAGAGAGGACACTAAAATGAGAGAAACGGGTTTAAAACAGAATGCATTTTATTTGAATACTGAATAGATTGTTAGTACGGAGACAGCACTGAGAATAGAGGTTTTTTTAAAGGGGAAAATAAAACTGGCAGCAATAAAATTAAAATGCAAGAACTATAATTTCTAATATAACACAAAGGACAAGCAGTTACATCAGCATCTTTTGTGAAGGTCACTTCTTGCATTCCATTATCTGGGAACTTACAGTTTCATTTAAACTTCAGAAAGGAGTATTTCGAATTGTCAAAAGAAAAAAAAAAAACAACCAAACCCTTACATATATAAAAGTAGACATGGTAACTGAAAGCATGTATAATGATTTATTGAATATCTTTAACGAGACCATTATCTGACAAGTAGAAAACAGTTGAGTTTTCGGTTTTAAAAAAAAATCCCTCAAACTGGTGTTCATTTTGGAGCGTTTCTGTTGTTTGTAATGTAAAATAAGACACGTAATATTCCACCTTGAAGTTTATCTTTTAAATCCAAAGTGTATGCTCTGCCCGTTACAGTAGAATCATATGAATTTAGTCTTCAGTTCCTCTGGATTCTCAGAGCAGCAGTAAGATAAGTCTCAGAATCATCATGAGGCTGGATTAAAATAAAAGGCAAAGAACGGGTCATGCTTATGTGGCATAAGACAGAGGTTCATATGTTCACCTAACCCGTACTATTACTAAACTTTGGCTTCCAACATGCTCGCTTCTCCTGGAGCAGGGGTGATCTCCGTAATTATCCCTTTACTGGAACTTCCCAGACCTGGTTAAAAATGCTGATTGACTGAGCAAAATCAGAACTCATGATTCTGAAAATCCGAGGTGAACCTTTGTAAGAGAAAGGTTTGGAGAGGAACACAAACCTTTCATAAGCTAGTAAGGACAAGTGGCTTAAAAATAAGAAGCAAGGAGCAATTCTGGGGTGTTATCATTATAATCTCAGCTACTTTCCACCGACTGGGGTCTTGTTCTTCTTGACCCATAAACCCTACTTCTGATTCCTTCTATCACCAAGATCATTTTTAGAACACAGCTATAACTGGAAAAGAGTCCTTTGTAGTCACAGTCCTCCCTGACCCTCATGCCCCCTCCCACCAAGTCATAAACGTAATACACAGCCACATGAGAAAATTCTAAAGGAAAGTAGAATGGAGAAATTTACTCATTGCATTATCAACCAGTGATAAACACTATTAAAGTCTGAAGCATCTCTTTCCTATCTTGGTTTTTTATACACAAACTTCTGAGATCACACTCAGATTTGGTTATTTGTTTTTATCTCCCACTATATCATTAAGATGTTCTAATGTCACTAAATAGTTTTTGAAAATGTGTCATGTAATTGCTGTTCAATATTTCATTAAGTGGACAAAAGCCTTATTGAAACATTTCCTTACTGATGAGTTTTTAGGTTGTTTCTAATTTTTCAGTTTATCATGTGTTCCATTAGAAATAAAGTTGCAATAAACATCAGCCTTTCTATACATTTCATTATTTCTTTGGAATACATTCCAAAAAGTAAAAATGTGTAGCAAAGGAAGTAAACAACTTTAAGGCTTTCAACATATAAAGGCTGCCTCCAGGAAGAACTAAAAATGTCACTATAAATTTGTACGTGGTAATATGCTTAATCTCATGGATAGAATTACTGGGATCAAATTAAGAGAAATCGGAGGCTCCCTCTTTATTTTTTTAAAAAATATTAACTGTCCTCCCTTGAAAACTCAAAGAATTGTAGCAGGCTATCACTTTGTCCAATGCTCTAAGAGAGACTGAGTATCAGATTTAAATGAATACATTTACTGTTTCAGATGAGTAAATCTTGAGGAAAAAAGGCTGAATTCAGTTCTTTATTCTAAAAAACGTGAGTACATGCAGTCAGATACTATAGCAACACTCCATGTATTCCACAAAAATGTTCCTGGGGACATCAATACCAAAGATGGACCGCAGGCATGATACTTTAAGGTTTTATAGTCATGCTTACTCTAACAAAAATCACGTTGACCTTTTCAAGTTAAAACGGACTCTTGCCAAAAAGTCCACATTAAATGATGGCAGAAGAAAAAGTACAGAAAAATAGTGTTTCTTACCTTAAACCTGCAACCAGCCCAGCTGGCATGATTTTCTTAGATCTCTTATACTTCACACCCATTATGGTGGCCAGGAAGAAAGCTGTAACTAAAAACCCAACCAATGCATGAACCAGAGTTTCAAACACATTATCAATGCTTGCTCATGAAAAAAAAAAAAAAAAAAAAGAGAAAGAGACATTGTTTCAGCTTGCTAATATAACAGCTATTATGTATAAGTATTAAATTGCTATCTTCTTAAAAAGATAAAATGTTCTCTTAAAAGACTTTATAAACTAGCTTATCAAAAAGGTTTCTGAGTAAGCAACATGTTAAAATCCACTCCTGAAATATCTTCAGAAGAAAAAATCTTTGTCTAACTTAAATTTCTGTTTGTAGAAACTCCTGGAAGGCTAGGACTCTGTCTTCTTCAGCTTTCCTCACAAACTCTGGGGAGTCTGTCTGGACCCACAGGAGACAGCCAATAAATGCTCATTTAAGTGAAAGTAAAGAAAATAATCAGAGTCTTTTAAGTAAGACCTGATGAGTAAAAAAATACTAGGAAAAAAGGCTGATTGATTGTAATATGCAGTACTGCATTTTGGGAAATGGATGCCCGGAGGCTAAGTAAGAACAGTCTGGGCAATAATATTACACTCAGAAGCGTCCCGCCAGCCTTTGAGGAGCTGACCCAGTATGGAGAGAGAATGTTTTATGGAAGAGATGCGGATGCCGATGTCGCAATTTCAGAACAGCTTTCAAGGAAAAATCACTTGCTGATATAAAGAACAAAATGACGGACAATAAACACACGTGAACTACTTAAATGCATGTGAATAAAAAGCCCAAATATCCACATCTTGCTGATATGTTTCTTCTGTTGACACAATTTCATTATTAAAAACTATCCCTAGCTCCTATTTCAAACAAGTCAAGGGAAAAAAATACAACACTAAGTCTCTTTCTCTCCCTTGAAGACCGAACTGATATAATTTGTCTTTATTTGTCCTGTCTTCCATACCAGCAGGGCACTCTGAATAATAATCAAATTAAATGGAAACAATTCCCAAACCTTCACGGGATCTCAGGCTAGACTACAGAGAGCCAAGCATCCTGGGCCTACACACACAGGTTTCCATTTTTACTGTGGACATTCCCCTGCTAAGCCCGACAAGGGAAGAAGCTAAAAAAAAGGTCAGCCTTGGTTTTCTAGATTGAGTCCTAGGGTAAAACAGGATCTAAAAGCTGCTTGTGAATTAAATAAAATAACGCGAGGCTGTCTTGTTTGGTATTTTAATAGCAACACAAAAACTATGCTAATAGGCACTTAAGGGTATTAGCAGAAAATCTGGACATAATTCCTTAAAATTTTATTTTTCTAGTAATAATTTTCATAGAAACATGCTTCTGTATCTGAAGGCCTGGGAGCAATATCCTTGTTTTTGAGTGTGGGTCAGTCTAGAAAGGAACAAGAATTATGTTCGGTCTCCACACATGCTTATCTACTTACCACATGACTGCACGTTTTCCAGTATACCTAGTACAGAGTATCAAAAAAGTCACTCCCAAGGTTCGACCCTTTATAACTGGAAAAAATGTCTTACTTACACAATGACAGTTTGACATCTCGCTTGTCATTGGAGACACGGTAGGCTCCATAGCCAGCCAAAAATCCAACAAAAAGACCAGCGATCAAAGATGGAACACCACCTGGGGGGAATAAAAAGGGCTCAGAGAGAGAATCCCCAAATGAAAGGAATTCCTTCCTTTCTTTCAAGAATGATACATGCACCTTTGAATGCATATCTAAGTGGGCACTGTAACTAGACAAAGCCAAATTACATATCTGCCTCTTCATGGACAGAAGAGGCAGATATGTAATTTCTAATATGTAATTTGTAATTTGTAATTGTAATATGTAATTCTAATATGTAATTTCTAATATGACTGGTCCCTGCTGAACCCGGAATGCATTGCAATGCCAGGGTTAGATACGGCTTGAGTGAATATGAAAGCCTGCCTGGTGGTAGCGGTTCTGACCTTGATTGCATGACCCTAGACAATCGGTTGACTTCTTTACACCTGTCTCTGTCCTTTTCTTCCCCCCTCTTCTCCTTGCCTCCCTCTTTTTACTCAGGCTGTGATAATAATAGGATGCAATGGTATTCTAGCTCATAGAGGTAGAAAGAGAAGTCCCATGCAAAGCAAGCAATGGTTCTGTCCCGAATAATTAACAAAGCTTCCAGCCTCGGGATGTCAGGACTCAGGGATGAATGGGGACTGTACTGAGAAATGGGAAGAGCCAGTAGCCTCCCACCCAGTGCTCTCCCGCCCTCAGTCCATTCATCCACAGCCCCAGGGCACGGTGATCAACACCAAGCACTTCCGGCCCACCGGCAATGGGCCTCATGACTGGGACATTGTGCACAAGAAAGACAGACAGACAGACAGACACACACACACACACACACACACACACACACAGAGTCAGTGCTTCATGGAGCTCACTCTATTTATAATCTATCAGATTGGAATCCCTCAGGGTAGGGCCAAGGCATCCCTATGTTTTAAATATCTATAGGAAATTCAGATGGTAACCAGGGTTAAAAACCATTGCAGCAATGTGCGCGCACACACACAGCAGCATTCTGAATGAGAAGACACACAAGCTGAGTTCTAGTCCTAATTCTTCCATTTGTTGCCCGAAGGACTTTGGCTAAGGCATTTAGTCTCTGAGTTTTGTCAGTTGCAAAACAGTGTTAGTAATACCATCGACGTCAAATACACAAAGGCTTAGAATGTTACAGTTGGAGAGAACGTTAAATTCCTCGTCGTTCCTCCCTCCCCCCAAATCTATTCTGCAAACACGGCAACACGGTCTTCTAAAATCATACATCCAGACTGGTCACTCCGCTGATTAAAAACTGTCAATGCTTCCTACTGCACTTAGAGAAAAACCCAAGTCCACTCGATTATGGGGAGCCTTGGCTTCTTGGCTTCTTGGCTTCGATCAGGTCCCTGAAGTCTTTATTCTTCATGGCTTCTAGACATGCTGTTCCCCGCCCTGTCCGGCTGGCCAACTGCAGCGCACCTGTCTCTATAAGGGTCAGCTCCTAGAGACATCTCCTCTGACACACCACTCTGAATGAGGGGCCCCATCAGAGCCTCCCACGATTCGCCATCCTGTATTTGCGCACCTGTCCGCGTATTTAAGGTCAGCCCCCTGACTTGCTTGCAAGCACCATCTCTTTTTGCTCACTGCTGTCTTCCAGGGCCTGACCCAGTGCTGGGTACTTGTCAGCACTTGATAAACGCTGACAAAATGCAGGCCCGGGCACTCCCTGTTAAATGGGTCATGTTTAGCTGAAGACGGCAGATTAGAAAACAGCCAAGGGGATTGAAGCATTTTCTGGAACGCATGACTAGGTCACCTTAATTAAGGTGTCTCTCACTTAGGGACCTCGACTCTTTTCTGTACACCCTGATGAGTTCTGCAATGCTGGGACCCTCCCCATCTGACGGATGTGCAGGCAGGGGAAGCAGCTGCACCCCAGTTTTGCCGAGGTCAGAGAGCAAACAGTGAGGATGGGCAGGCTCTACGCTGTAAGAAGGCTATGGCTCGTGGAAGGGAGCCAGATCCTGCAAAAAAGCTCAGTCTATAGTGGGGCTACCAAAAAAGAAAAAAGTGCCAAGCTGTGCCCCGCAACCCCTCCTTCAAGACCCAACCTGGCTGGGCCAGTCTCAAGGAGTTTCAATGGGGTTTTCAAAGGAGTTGGGAGGTGCCCATGAGGGCCTCTCTCCCTCAGAGCAAGACACCTGCTCTCCTGTTCCCCTCTTCCTCTCCGGAGGGGCTGCTGTGCCCTGACCTTGAACTGGAGTAGAAGGTAGGTAGCCAGGTTCTGCCCTGGTACAGGAGAAGGCCAAGAGAGCTTCCTGCCCATCTTGGGCTTTGGGCACTGGCTACTTGGCTCAGAAAAAGCCTCAAAATCATAGTGTCTACTTGGGTATGCACTTTTCTGGGGACCTGTGTGGGAGAGGGGTGAACTTAGAACTTGGTGCCGCTGTGCTGCCTCTCTCCCCTTTGTCTGCTCCCAGCAAGAGAAGAAATCTATCAGCCCCGCACTCTGACCCAACTATGTCCGGCCCTTGGTCTTGGTCTTGGTCTTGTACAGGATTCAGATATACTTGTCCTCTTACCAAACATCATCCTGACATCACATCTTCAACCTACTCAACACTGTTCTCAGTAACTGTCCCGTGAAGGGTCTCCGGGCCGAACTCTAGGGGATTCATGTCTAGGGAAGTTTTAAGTAAAAACAGAAAGAACTGATTCACTTTATACAAAAGCTCTAAGACACTGGGGCCAGAAGCAGCTAAGAATATAGAATACAAAACCAGAAAAAGGTATTTTGCCTCACTGGCCCACAGACTCTCCCCCTGGCAGGGAGTAGCAGCAGAAACAAGAATATCAAGACCTTCTTCCAGCCAGGCACTATGTGAAATGTGTTACATGCATTATCTTATTTAATCCTAACTGATCAACATACAAATGGGGAATTGAAATTAAAACAACTCACATGAGTACCCGAGCTAGTAAGGAGTAATGTAACGAGCAGAATTTAGGAAAGTCTAATGCTGTGGCTTGTGCTCTTAACCCACATTACAGGGGAGTGGGCTTCTTTGTGAACATATGCCTCCAGGGGCTTCCAGGATCACACAGTTGGGGGCTCCTACAGGAGGAGGGACCATATTGTTCAGGAGGCCAAGGGACCATATTGTGCAGCTGAGCCATCATATATTTTGGTGCCATCAAAATGATGGCACCAAAATATATGATGGCACAATGGTGCCTTCCATCGAATACATATGCTACACCCATTGAGAAAGAACATAAGAGCAACAGACAAAAGTCCAAGTGAATTAAAGGTTCTCAGGAATCTTAGAAAATACTCTGTTTTAACCATAAGAGACTCTTAATCTCACAAAACAAACTGAGGGTTGTGGGGGGAGGTGGGGGGGATTTATGGACATCTGGGAAGGTATGTGCTATGGTGAGTGCTGTGAAGTATGTAAACCTGGCAATTCACAGACCTGTACCCCTGGGGCTAATAATACATTATATGCTTATAAAAATAAAAAATTATAAAAAAAAATAAAAGAAGTAAACATTGTAGAATGAAAAAAAATACTCTGTTTTAACCTGCTACCCCTCAGTCCCTACAGAGACCTGTGTTTCTGGCCTTGGACTTCTTAGCAATCGCTAAATAAGGGGTCCCTCTAATACCTATGTAGACCTGGCTTTTTCACTCAAGTTGCAGCCTACCAATGTCACAAACAGAACCTTTCATTTTTTTGCATGAAAACTCATCAACTGTTTTTTTTTTCTCTCCTCTTTTGGATATAGATGAAGAGACAATCTCTGAGAAGATATCTAAGCATTTAACAAATTTTCCTTTGCAAAACACTGTATCAACATAATTCAGTTTTTGATACTAGGAGTATGTAAACAAATAAAAATCCTCATTTGATAATAAGCGAGTAGCCCTGAGGAGGTTAAGTCAATTAATTACACAGTTGATAATGACAGGTGAAGAGAGACCCAGACAGCTGGGTTGGGTTGCTCCGTCATACCCAGCCCCCTGCCCTCTACAACTCCCTTCCATGCAAGACATGCTGGTCCTCGGTTACCTCTAGGACCTCTTCAGCTTCCTGTCTTATTTACAAACCCTCAGATGATCCTTTTTTTTTTTTTTTTTACATTTTTAAAAAATTAAATTTATTTTTTCAGATGATCTTCCAAGTGTTCCAAGACTCATTGTTTATACACCACACCCAATGCTTCATGCAATAAGTGCCCTCCATAATACCCACCACCAGAATCACCCAACCCCCCACCCCTCTCCTCTCCAAAACTTTCAGCTTGTTTCTCAGAGTCCACAGTCTCTCATGGTTCTTCTTCCCCTCCAATTTCCCCCAACTCACTTCTCTCTTTCTCCCATGTCCTCCATGTTATTCTTTATACTCCACAAATAAGCGAAACCATACGATAATTGACTCTCTCTGCTTGACTTATTTCACTCAGCATAATCTCCTCCAGTCCCGTCCATGTTGATACAAAAGTTGGGTATTCATCCTTTCTGATGGAGGCATCATACTCCATTGTATATATGGACCACATCTTCCTTATCCATTCGTCTGTTGAAGGGCATCTGGGCTCTTTCCACAGCTTAGTGATTGTGGCCATTGCTGCTATGAACACTGGGGTACAGATGGCCCTTCTTTTCACTATATCTTTGGGGTAAATACCCAGCAGTGCAATTGCAGAGTCATAGGGTAGCTCTATTTTTAATTTTTTAAGGAATCTCCACACTGTTTTCCAAAGTGGCTGCACCAACTTGAAACCCTCAGATGACCTTAGCACAACCGCCAATGCCCTACCAAGGCCCTTGGATGAAAAACACAGTTAAGGCTTACCTCTCCGCTTATATCCCAAGATGCTTCCAAATGTCACAAGGGCCGCATAACCGAAACCGATCAGGTCCATTGGCAAGGTTGCAATTCTACTACTGGGTGAAGGGACAAGTTTTACAACATAAAAAGAACTGGGGGGAGCATAGGTAATACAAAAATGGTATGTATTCCACGGAATTACAGAGATTAATTTCAAGCTCAGCCGGAAACACGCATGCTTAATCAACAGCAAATCACTGATGAATACAACGAAGCTCCTGGCATAAAATCACGTGAGTGATGAGAATATCCTATGTGTCTCATAGCAGCAGTTGAAATATAGACCTAGGGGTGAGAAGTTCCATGAAAATCCTACCCAGGAATCCGTAAGATGCAGGAGAAAGTGTGCTGGCTACAGGCTGGAGACATGGGTACTGGTCAGTGGCAGGCTGTTGGGCCTTGACTCATGCCCCATCCCTGACACTGACTCCCCCCCAAAGTGAGGGGAGTAGATGAGATGAACCCTAAAGTTCCTTGCAGCTTTCTAATTAATTTCTGATTCCCAGGGCCGCTTCTATATCTATATGCAAATAAAACTCATGTCTCTCAGATCTGTAAAGTTCTAGATCAGTCACCTCCATTGGTCTCACAGCTTCAAGCTGTGACCACACTGCATGCCTTCCATCTTCAGCCCTGTCAGCTTCTCATGGTCCGTCTGACCTACGGTTGTTCCCAAAGACTTAATCGAATTCCACAGTGTATGCTGGGCTCCAAGCCTGCTGCCACTGCCTGCTAGCTATGTAACATTGTGCGTGGTCCCTAAACTCTCTGCAACTCAGTCTCTCCATCTGTAAAATACGGATAATGATAAAATTACCTCACAGGGTTGTGGCGATTAAATGAGGTAATACTGAAGAGTGCTTACAACAGGGACTGCATGTACTGGGCACTCTTCAAATACTAGCTGCTTGAATAATGATTGTTCTTCTCTTTCACCCTATACCCATTTTTTTTTTTAAGATTTTATTTATTTATTTGTCAGAGAGAGAGAGGGAGAGAGAGCGAGCACAGGCAGACAGAATGGCAGGCAGAGGCAGAGGGAGAAGCAGGCTCCCTGACGAGCAAGGAGCCCGATGTGGGACTCGATCCCAGCACGCTGGGATCATGACCTGAGCCGAAGGCAGCTGCTTAACCAACTGAGCCACCCAGGCGTCCCCCCTATACCCATTTTTAAGCTTGACATGTGTGAGGCGATAACTGTGCCAGCTTGCTGAGAAAACAACAGAGATGGAGTGAATTTATGACTCAGGCACTCAGTGAATCAACCCATAATGTTACAGCTTATGCTCAACTACATTTAACAACTATTTATTGAATGTCTTCTTTTTTAGGAAAATATTTTATTTAATTCTTTGACACAGAGAGAGAGCACAAGCCGGGGAGTGGCAGGGAGAAGCAGGCTGCCTGCTCAGCAGGAAGCCCGATGTGGGGCTTGATCCCAGGATCCCGGGATCATGACCTGAACAGAAGGCAGATGCTTAACCAACGAAGCCACCCAGGCACCCCTGCACGTCTTCTTTGTGCAAGGCAGCAGGAAGGCATGGAAAGTCCTTCGACTTGGCTTTGGCCTTTTAGTATAGCACAGCAGAGGAGAAAGATGTGTGGATGAGCCCTATGAGGAGATGCACAGGCACCATATCAAGAAGTGGAGCCTACGGTGACTTGTGAGCCTAAGGGAGGATTCCTAGAGCAGACAGGGTCCCGGCTGGGATCTTGGGGAGAGGAGGAGTAAGCCGAGCGAAGAGGGTGGCCAGGAAGGATGTGTTCTAGGCAGCAGGGAGAACGTGTGCAAAAGCCTAGTGGCATGAGAAAGCATGGCCTGTTCTCAAAATGGACAGGTGAGTAGGGAAGCTGTGAAGACATGGGCCTGGGGAAAAAGACAGGGCCAGGACACTTCTGAGTGCTGTAAAGGGAGGCTGGGTTCTGTCTCAAGGGCAGTAGGGAGGACCGAAGGGAGTCTCTCCACCAGATTTAATTCCAGCCAGTGCTTCCTTGCAGTGGTATCGGGAGATGGGATGAAGTGAAGCAGGAAGCTGAGCTAAGCCAGAGCCGGTGGTGGCCTGGCCTGGAGCAACGGCAAGGAGGGTGGGTCAGCTCTGAGAGACATTCAGGAAACAGAATCAATAAGCCTGGATGTGGGGAGTCCAGGGGAGGGATGATTCAGAGATGACTCACGTCTAGGTCTCTGGTTTGGCACACCAGGAAGAAGAGGTGGGAGGCGGGGGGGGGGGGGCATTGATGCTCCTCCCGGAGATAGGGAGCACTGGACCAGCAGGCATGTGGTAGCAGGCGGAGGGAGGAATCCAGGAATGGTGGGACCTACCTGAGACCTAGTCTAAGATGCCTGACACACAGTGAGGAAAACACCTCTACACACAGATCGGAAGCTTATGAGATCACTCATCATCAGGTAGTAATTTGGGAACCTAATTTTCTCCTTAAGCTGGCCACCTGATGTAAAAGGCTGATTCTTCTTTGTCCTCTGAGCTCCCAGTCTTCTTCTGACCCTCTCCTGGGGCCCCACCCCTTCTACCTGGCATCGAGTTACTTACATTGAGCTCCCCTCCCTACCTCCTGTCCCTGCCATGCTCCTCCGGGGCTAAGCTCAAATTCAGTTCACCTTTGTCCTCCCCACATCACCAAGCTCATGGCCACGCACAAGGCAGAGTGTGCAGAAATACTTGTTGAATGAACCAAAGGAACAACTTTTGCCTGAAGGAAGACATTCTGTAACTGGTCAACCCTCAGTATAGCTCTACTGCCAGGCAACAGTCTGTTCCCTTAATCTCCTTACTGAGCTGAGTATTCCAAGGAGGCAAAATACATACACCTATTCCCAAACCTTGCAGGAAGTTTCTGAATACAGAGAGAAATTGCAGACAAAAAGCAAACATCCCTCTTGCTCCATGTCCATGGCAGGACCACATGACCAGAACCACACAGGGAAGTAATGGAAGTAGGCGCTGATGGGCGCCTTGCTTCACAGGCTCTCACTGAAAACACTACCTCAGTGCTTGGAGAGGCCAGAAAGCGTCTTGCGTGCAATGCAGCAAAAGTGATTTACTGCACCGCGTATGAAACCAGGTGACAGGGCCCTGCCTTGCCCTCCAAAATTTGGGGGACCCACTAAGAGATTTTCCGTAAGCTACTGTATAATAAACTACCTACCTTTGTACTCCTTGAGGGCTCGAAAGACCATTTTCGAATGAAGGCTGGGTGGTACTAGCAAGGTTAAACTGCCAAGCGTTTTTGCCATGGTCAGAGAACCCCATCCCTTCCCCGCCTCTCCCCAGTTCCAGGAAGGTCGGAAGGAGGACAGGTGGGAGATTCAGGGCCGCGGAAGGAAGACATTCCGGGAATTCCCACGAGACGGAGAGAAGCGATGCTTGGAAGAAGCAGCCCCCATCTCCTGCAAAATCCTCCCCAGGTCATTAGCATCTTTGCTCAGATCTGGGCCTTTACAAGAAAATTCAGGAGAGGAAGTTCTCAACTGCGAGGTGTACAGCTCACCTGCAGCCCCGAGCCCTCCCCGCGGCTCAAAAGAGAAAAATCGGGAGCCAGCCTCGGGCTAGCCTCGTACCTGGTGTCCGGAAGCGGTCCCCGCTGCCAGCACCTCCTGATTCTGCGCGCTACCTCCCCGCCCTGGCAGAGACTGCTGGTTCGGGGCGGTGCCGGTCCCGCGGCGCGCATGCGCCAAGGCTTACCCTCGCTTCTGCCCGGCGTGCCCCGCACAGGCTGCGGACCCCGAGGCCATTCGGTTCCTCCGCCGCTTGCTCTTTCTGCCCGGCTTTCCGCTCTGGCTCTACAGGCGTGCTGGGGTCTGCTGCCTCCTGCCGGATCCGGCGGGACTGGGAAGCCCCCGCAGAGAATAGGTCTGGGTGTAGCGGATCCCAGAAGGCGGAGTTTTAACCTTGAGGTTCGTTCACCACTCAGAGGACAGCAATCAGGCCTTTTAGATTCTCGCCAGCGACTGTCCCCATTTTCAGTGCTGGGAGCTAAGGTTCAGACAGATGGGGTGATTGAGTTGTCCACGGTCTCAGGTCCTAAGTGGGGTACAAAGGTTAGAGCCCAAGTTTGTCTGGTTTCTAAGCTGGAGCTCCCTTCATTATATCACACACATTATATCACTCCCTTCATTATATCTCCACTCGAGATGTGGAGGGGAGCTCAGGATCCCGGTTTTATACTCCACGCCCAGGATTTGCTGGGCCTAATTACGTGAAGGGAAAGGTAGAGACTGACAGACGTGCAATGCACTTTAAGCCATGGCTAGTCCCAGGATCATATGATCCCGGAAATGAATTCAGTGGATTTGGAATTGTTCCTTCTGGCAACAAATGCTCATTTCACGCCACTTTTGCCTTCCAAACCACATACTATAACTCCAACCAGACTCCTTACCCATCCTTACCCTAGCCTCCCCCAACCCTCTCTCCAGACTTCCAGGACTTGCCCTATCCAGAATGAAACTAAAAACCCTCTTGGAATGCTTCCCTTATCTTTACCTGATAGGACCTCCAGTAAAAAACTTGCTCCTGAATTCAGACGTCAGTGCCTGGATTTATAAGATGCTGCTCAGAGATCCCTTTGACCCTGTCACTGAGGTATGGGAAGCTGGAAACAGTCCCATGATAATTCCTACTCAAGGCATTTTCACCTAAACCTAAAAGAATAACGTTCTATGATGGGAAATTCCATATTCTTGGACATGTGGGTTCACAAACGTTCTTAGGCAAAGGGGTCACTGTCCTCTCAACTCATATGCCAGCTAGTAATAAGGTTAGAGCGCAAGGCAAGGGTGCCTTGCCAAGCATATTTGTCTCTACCTATTTGTCAAACTGTCTGTTCATGATCCCAGCAGAGACAGATGGCCCTATGATGAGCCATCAGTTGCCTTTGGCAGTCTGGAAAAACACATGAACAATAAAAAACAGGATTTCCAAGGAAGCCAATTTTATTGAAATACAGTTATGAAATTATTAACAATTTATATCTGTGATCTAATAAATGTGCTTCTTTATCATATTACAGGATCTCAGAATGGGGATAATAATACCGTAATTCCCAAGCGGTGCTGCACCTAAACAATATTTTCGGGTATCTGGAACATGCAAATATCTGCTCGTGATGACAGAGTCACAGGTACTGATACTATGGTGGTTTGTGGCCTATGAAACAAATGCTAGACTTTAGAGGTTAGTGAGGATAGAAATTTCTTTTCTCCATCCATGTTCTCAGATCTCCTGATTTCCATCCTCAGGCCCCTTTGGATTTGCAGAACTCCCAATGTATAGTAACACAGGCTTTCCTAAGTGGTGTATGGGTGGAACTGGAAAAGAGGAGAGTACAGTTGAGAGCCTGACTGACTGACAGACTGGCCGCTCGTTCAGGCAGGACCTCACAGGATGTTTAGTCCTCAGTGAGTGCTCTGTGGATCCCAAGCCTAATCCTCGTTTTCAAACAATGTTCCCAAACTCAGTCTGTTATCAGCTCTTCTGTGGGCACCCTGGGTTTGGGAGATTAATTCATAAAAACCAAAGTCATGGGGCACCTTCAGTTCAGGTCGTGATCCTGGGGTCCTGGGATCCAGCCCTGTGCTGGGCTTTCAGCTTAGTGGGGAATTTGCTTCTTCCTCTGCCCCTCCCCTGCTCATGTTCTCTCTGTCTCTTAAATAGATAAATAAAATTTTTTTAAAAATTTTATTTGACAGAGAGAGGGGGAGCCCAAGCAGGGGGAGGGGCAGAGGGACAGGGAGAAGCAGGCTCCCCGCTGAACAGGGAGCCTTATGCAGGGCTTGATCCTAGACCCTGGGATCATGACCTGAGCCAAAGGTAGATGCTTAACTGAATAGGCCACCCAGGTGCCCCAAGATAAAGAAAACCTTAAAAAAAAAAAAAAAATAGAAGTCACAAGAGACTTACTGATTTTTAAGCAAAAAAAAAAAGTCTGTTTCAGGTCCGTGATCCTTCTCTTCTTCTAGATACCACAGGGTTACTGATCATTTAGGCCTCTGCTCATCAGTAAAAGAATTTTTTTTAAAGATTTATTTATTTGAGAGAGAGAGAGAGGGGGAGTAAGTGGGAAGAGGGTCAGAGGGAGAAGGAGAAGCAGACTCTTCACTGAGCAGGGAGCCCTATGTAGGGCTCAATCCCAGGACCCTGGGATCATGACCGGAGCCAAAGGCAGACACTTAATGACTGAGCCACCCAGGAGCCCCAGTAAAAGAAATTTTGAACAAGCATCCCAATATATGTATATTATTTCTAAATTAGACACCTACTGCTGTGCTAATATGCTGTGCATATTTTTAAATACAAATATATAAATCAAAATAAGATACATAATACAAGACTTTAAAAGGAGAACATGAATAGGATGAAACAGAGATTTCCTATGCTTAATTAAAAATGACATATTTCTGTCCCATGGTACAGTAGACTATTTTTATTCTTTCTTTCCCAATAATACTTTTCTGAACTGTTTGCAGCCTTTAGGACATCCTTCTTTTTTTTCATGTAGTGGTAAAACTGAATACTGTCAAATGTAAAATTCACTCTGACCTGCAGCTTTGCTCTCCTCAAGCCCACGTGACACGGATTCCTTGCATCAGCCCAGTGTGATGACGTTAGGCTAAATATCCTTTCAATAAAAGTGTGTGAGCATGGAATAGTTAGGATTTTACTTACTAGCAACAGCAGGTTTTTAAATTTGTAGGCATTCGCTTTCATTTCTCCAAAAAGGTCCATCTACTTTGTGTCCACAGGCTTGTTAAGGTCAGCAGTTTGTTAGTCAGGTCCTTTGTATCTGTAAATTCATCATATAGGCTGTCATTTTTTAAAAAGATTAATTTATTTGAGAGAGAGCACAAGTGTGCACATGAGCAGGGGGAGGGGGAGAGGGAGAGAGAGAGAATTTCAAGCAGACTCCCTGCTGAGTACAGAGCCCAGCACAGAGGCACAGTGTCACAACCTGAGATCATGACCTGAGCCCATTGGATCAGTTGGATCCGTAACTAACTGAACCTCCCAGGCACCCCAATGTCCATCATTTTTAAGCACTCTGAAGCACACTGGAAGCCATCATAAGGTGAACATCTCCTTTTCAGGGAAAATGGTTTTGAAGCATAGAGATAATTTGAACTGGTAAAATTGAAGTTGGGTTCCAAATAAGCTACTGTTTTAGTAAAGAAATTAAGAAAGTCCTGTTTAACTTGATTACCCTTTTCTGGAGACTTTTTTTTTTTTTTTTTTTTAAAGTTCTGAAGCAGTCTTATTTCCAAAAAATGAATAATTTTTCTACTGTATGAATTTTTGTCTCAACTTATACATAACATCAGACAGTTCAGGTACGGTCTGTTGATCCTTTTCTAGGCTTCCTATAGCCTCTTCAAAGACCATCCGTTGTGGAGACACAGCATATAAATTTCCATTTTACTATACTCCTCATATCCATTTCCATCTTCAATATATTTCCAAATCAAAGAAGAACAGTCTTCTTGTCCCAAATGTTGAAACTATGATTTTATGGTAGGCCGACACTTTACAATCTTTTCTGTGACTGGGAGCAATGAGGTCCATTTTGTAGGCACATATCTAACAAGGCTATCTTCTTCCACTTCTTTAAAGTCAAAAATCTCATTAAGAGCTTCTGCACATTTTGACGAAACTGAAAAGTGACCAAAAACTTTCCTTATGAAAGTCTCAATACTATATATAAATCACAACCCTTCCCTTTTTTTTTTTTAAAGATTTCATTTATGTGAGAGAGAGAGAGAGAGAGAGAGAGAGGAGCAGGGGGAGGGGAGAGGAAGAGAGACAAGCAGACTTCCCGCTGAGCAGGGAGCCTGATGTGGGGGTTCGATCACAGGACTCTGGGATCATGACCTGAGCTGAAGGCAGATGCTTAACTGACTGAGCCATCCAGGCACCCCAAACCACAACCCTTTTTAGGAGTGTCATATACAAGATGTGCAGGGCATTGAATAGGTAAGATCTTTTCATTTTCTCTGGTGAGACACTTATAGACTGAGTGGGATTTGCCCAAATTTACATGGGCACTGTCTGATGAATGTGGAGATAGATGAGCTAAGTCTAGTTTGTATTTGGTCAAAATATCAATAAGTCTTCTGCTTTGTGATTCCAGCAGTTCCATTAAAATCCTCTAGAAATCGGGAAGGTAATCTGAAATCCCATTTTTCAAGTCAAGGGACCTAAGAACTAGAGAGAAAATTTTTTTTGTTGCCATGGTTCAGTGCATAGACTGTAGAAAGCATGATGGCTGGTGAGAAAGGACCAAATCAGCTCTACACTGTAAGGGGCCAACAGCTCTGCTATCAGAGTTTCTCCTTTTGATCATCCACAGGGTATTTTAGTTGCAATCCCTAAGTCAAGAAAAGTAACTTCTTCAGTTTCACAGAGCAGTCAAGGGAACCATAGGATGATACCCGTTGGTTTGTGTGGTATCCCCAAGCTCATTCGACAGCTGCTATTTTTGACTGAACATTGATTATCTTCTTGGGGGAATAAAAATACTTTTGATTGGTTTAGAGTCACTTGCCTGTCTCATTCTGGACTGGTGAGATTCAGTCTCCACATGTGTTTTCACATCCCTTTCTCCACTATGCCCAATCCCAAAGTCTTTCCTGCATATTGTGCAGTATTCTCTGTTTTGTTTATCTACCTCCCTGATCCAGTTCTAGATCTCCTTCCATTTGTCACTAAAATAACACAGCCCACTTAGTCTTCTTTCTAGATGAAGGGATCTAGATGCTTGTGTTGGTGGTATAATTGTTCTCATTTTCATGAACTGATTTCTTAGAAAACAATATGCACAAGTTTAAAAATTTAAACTAGCCTGACTTGATACACATCACAACAGTCATCCACAGGGAAAGTCAAGGACAGACCGTAATCTTCCTAATTATGACACACTGAAGTCACTCTCCGGCAAGCAACCGTGGATGGGTCAACTGTTAGTGTCAACTGCAAACTGTGGGTGACAACATCAGTGGTCAGGGAGGAAATGGGCAACTATATTCATTTGACACTTAAGACAATGTTGCTCTCAGCCCCTCTTTTAGGGTTACTGTATGGGCTTTGTTCATTTCCTCCAGTCTTCCACACTCATTACCCAGACCAGGACCTTTCATACTCCAGGGAAGGTCTCCCAGGACATGATACTTTCAGTGTGAAATTGGGATGATCGCTTCCCTTACTGGGTCTCCAGTAATCCAAAGGCTACCACTCCAGAGGTGCGAAGGCAGGCCCAAGGAGCCAGAGACTCCTCACCTTGCTTCCACTGATGGAGTGAAAATTCTCTAGAATATTTCTCAAGTTTCTCTTCTTTAAAGATGATGAAAACAGAACCTTGTCTTTTTTTGGACTCTGGATCCAATGAAAACTCAGTGGCCTTGACGCGCCTGGGTGGCTCAGTCGGTTAAGCATCTGACTCTTGGTTTTGGCTCAGGTTGTGGTCTCGTGGGTCCTGAGATGGAGCCCCTCATTGGGCCCTGTGCTCAGTGGGAGATCTGCTTGAGAACTCTCTCCTTTTGCCTGCCCCCCTCTCTAAAATAAATATGTGTTTTTTAAAGTCCCTAAAAACAAAACAACAACAACAACAACAAAACCCACATACAACTCAATGGCCTTGATCTGAAAACACAGGCAAAGCTCAGGGCTGGTGACTTCTTTAGCTTAGGACCTAAAGGGAACTCATAGGAGATAAGACATACCAACGCCAGAGGAGGAGAAAGAAGCCTTGCTTCTTTCCCCCAGTCAGGGAAGCAAGGAAGGTAGGAAGGAAGGAAGGAAAGAAAGAAGGAAGGGAGGAGGTTGATCAAATTGTCCAGGTTTGCCCAGGACTATGGGAATGGGAAACTTTCAGTGCTAAGTGAGGGATTTCCCTGTTGAGGGAATTACTAAGACTGGAGACTCTGGGGTTTCCTAAAACCCAGACAATGAGTTCTGAGACGGGAATCAGACAGATGACGGTTCTAATTCTCACTGGCAGTTCCTAGCAGTATTACCCTGCGCTACTCCCTTTCCTTTGAGCCACAAGACTCCACCGCTGGTTCACAAAACATTTCATCTCTTCCAAACACACCACACACTACCTAAACCTAACTCCCCCATTTTCTCTAAACCTGAAATCCAGCTGGTTTATCTAAACACATAAATCAGACCTTAGTCCAGTGGAGTCTCTGTGCTTGCTGCATGCCTTCTTCCTGTCCTGGTAGTCTCAACCTAAGACTTGTTTCCTCCAGAGGTAAAGCAGCAGGAATTCGGAGCACAGGCTGTAGCTGGGCTGCTGGGCATGGAATCTTCACTGTGCTAACCCTCTATACATTGTGCAATGTGTTTTACTTACTAAATCTTCTTAGGGCCTTAATCTCTTCCTTTGTAAAATGGCACTTAAATAATGCCTATTTTACAGCATATGTGGTTTATTTTCTTTTTCTTTTCTTTTTTTTTTTTTTTTAAGATTTTATTTATCTATTTGACAGAGAGAGACACAGCCAGAGAGGGAACACAAGCAGGGAAAGTGGGAGAGGGAGAAGCAGACTCCTGCTGAGCAGGGAGCCCGATGCGGGGCTCCATTCCATGACCCCAGGATCATGACCTGAGCTGAAGGCAGACCCTTGATTACTGAGCCACCCAGGTGCCCCAACCCATATACTTCTTATTCTCCCTGAAATCTGTACAGAAACAAGTCCCTAAATTCTGCTTCCCTCAGAACCTTGGCTACAGATAGCTCAGACAGTGATTGTGATACAGGAGTGCTATCCTTTCAGAGATCAAATCCCGTGCACAAGGGCCTTTGAAGGACTACATAGCTTACCTTCTCCATGCTCGCTGGATCTCTAAAGAGGATTGGCCCCACCCTCCTGATCTTCCAGTGTTGGGGTCCATTTTTATAGTATGGTCAACAACCTCTCCACATTTGGCAAAAGAGTCTTTTGAGTCCTTTTTGCTGGTGTCCCAGCTCAGGCCATTAACAAATAATTTTCTGAAATGGTAGGGCAAGACACAGGGCAATAAGAAGTCTTACAAGGAAGCCATGAGCTTGGAATGTCTTCAAGAAATCCGTGAGCTAAGGAAGAACTAGACCTCCCAAAGCTTTCGTTGGAAGGATTATAAATAAATCCACCACCCACAGCGAAGGTGTACACCTACCCATCCTATCTGTAAACATTCTACCTTTGACAGATGTTAACAAATCTACACTGCCTTCTTACTGAGATCCCAACTCCACACTCACACTAATGAAACCGAAGACCACGGCACCCCGGGACTGGGAAGGGGAAAGAAAGGGCAACCCGGCCGGGGTGTAGGCCCTGGGCACTCATCACAACTGGAAGTTAGTTTGGTCTTTAAAAACCCTCTTCTCAAAGTGCAATCATCTATCTCCGTCTTCCCTCTGTGCCCAGAGGTGGCTCTCAAGAAACTTTGCCATCCTGGGAAAGAGACTTTGCTCGTACAGGATGGAGAGAGGGAGGATGCAGGCCCCGGCCTGGTACGTGGAAGGGTCCAGACCCTGGATCGGACCCGGTCAGAGCGCACACTTGACTCCCGGCCACCTACCCTCTCCGCCAGGGGGTTGCGGGACGCACCGAAGTCCATTCAACAACTCCCGCCAACACCAGGGCACCTAACCTCGCGTCCTCCTGGTTCTTGCCTGGCTCATCCCGGGCCATCATCTGGTCGGGCTCGACGCGGTCCTGGCTTCCCTGGCGGGGCGGGGGGGGGGGGGGGGGGGGGGCGGCGGCTCCCCACTGGAAGGTCACTTTGGCGGGTGGCCTTTTCTCGGTCTCCGCCCTGCCAGGGTTCCCATGGGCGGCGCGCCCTCACAGGACACCCTGGACGGACCGCTCGGTGGACGCAGCGCAGCCGGCTCGCTCGCCCTCCCTCAGCCACAGTCAAGGTGGCTGGGCGGGAGCCTACACCCGACTCCGTAACGCCCAAGTTGGGAGAATCCGGGGCGGGGCATGGAGGGCGTAGGCAGGGGCAGGGGGGGCGGGGTGCGCGGGAGGTGTGGGGGCGGGCCCACCTCTCCCACAGCGCCTGCTCATTGGCTGAACCCGCCCGACAGTCCAGCGCCGGCGTCCCATTGGCCTCAACCTCGCGCGCTCGGAATCCGAGGGAAATTGTGGTCGCAGAGGGCGGCAGAGCCAGGCCCGGGCAGAGCGCCCCGAGGTCCAGCCGCGCGACTGCTCGTCTGCCCCGGGCCGCGCGGAAAGGCCGGAGGCGCACCTTCCGCCCGCTGCACCGCAGCCTCTCGTCCCCGCGCGCCGGTCTCCGGGCTCCACGAAAGTGAAAACAGCCAAGAGCAAGACGGCAAATCCATTTGATTCCCTAAAGGAAGACCCCGACTTGCCAGTTCAAGGAAGGCCTAAGACTGAGAAAAGTGTAATTAAGCAAAAATCGGTTTTTGCAACGGCAAAGCAAACAACTGGAATCCAGGGGTGGGAATTTAAGAAAAGATAAAACGTGAGTCTAATTTCAAATTTGTACCGGTGTCTGTGTAGACCTGGATGTATAGGCAACATTCACGACCAATGATGAATCAGGCTCTTCTTATTTAATTGCCTTTCCTGTGAAGAGGCAGCAGGGGGCGCTAGACGCTCTAGTTTCATCGAACTTTTAACCTTGTCCGCTTTTCCTGAATATCAAATAGTTCGCTCTTAGAAAACAGGGATGGTTATAAAACTTGACGGTAAATGGGGAAAACAGGGCGATGGGCTACGTGGAAGACGAAAAAGATACGCGATTTCGGCGCTGCAGCCCGTTGGCTCAGGAGCAGTTTCCTTAATGTCCTTGTTGTGTGGGGAGGGGAGGTCCATTACAGGACTTAGGGGGAGTTTTGAGGTGGGCTCCAAAAGAGAGGCAGGCAGTGGAGAGTGACCACAGGGCATCCGCCAACTTCCTGTCCTCAGCCTACCATTTGGACCCATTTTGAACCTTTGCCAAGGACACGGGACTTGCCGTGCAAAAAACGGGACTGAGGGCTTTCCCGGGACTGGGTACTTTCCCATAAACAATAATAATAACAACTAACATTTAATGAGTACCTGCTGTGTGCCAGCCACCTTCTACTTTACGGTATCAACTTTGTTTAATCTTCACTAAGACCCTCTGAGGTAGTACTATGTCATCCTCATTTTACAAAGGAGGAAACGGAGGCAACTTGCCAAAGGTCATGTAAACAACTGAGCAGTGTCAGATCCAGGTTTCAGAAAAAAAGGTGCATGCAGGCTCTGTGGTCTTTCTGCCCGGGGTTCGAGTCTCAACTCCCACTGTGTGTATTATTAATGCAGGAAAGCACATAACATTATTACTAGCATCTAGGAAATACTCAAGTATTTGCTATTATTATTAAAAGAGTGCTCCTTGTTTTCCAAGAGCTTAAAATGTACTTTAAGAGGAGGGGCGCCTGGGTGGCTCAGTGGTTAAAGAGGTTGCTAAGGTTCCTAAAGCAGAGACACCTATTGAATGGATGAATGGGACAGATAATGGATGCATGTGAAGTGTTAGAGGAGGGAACGGTGGTGAAATAGTGGTCAGGTCTGGGTCACAGGTTGCTGGGGAGAGTACCTGCTTAAAGTTCTACCCAAGCAACCAGCATCAGCCTCTGATCCTCAGCCACTTGAGCTAATCATTACATCCTTTATTTTTGATGATCATATGGGGGTGTGTGTGTGCGTGTTTAAAAGTACAATCAAGGGGTGCCTGGGTGGCTCAGTGGGTTAGAGCCTTGCATTGGGCTCTCTGCTCAGCGGGGAGCCTGCTTCCCCGCTCCCCTGCCTGCCTCTCTGCCTACTTGTGATTTCTCTCTCTGTCAAATAAATAAAATCTTAAAAAAAATACAATCAATTTTTACTAGTCATGAAACTTCTCTTAAGGAATGCTGTTATACCTACTTTTTTCAGCTGGAGGAAGCGTTTATTAGTTTTGCAAATGGTTATCTGTTTGATGTCAAGTCGTGGAGTCGGACTCAAAAACAAACAGGTCCGAGTCTGAGACTGACTCTGGAGTGGGGGTGAGGAGTGGGAAGGGATATTATCTTAACTGAAACATGAAGTCTGAGAGGGAGCCAGTGGGCAAGGAGTCAGGAGAACCACACTGGGGGTAGCAGGAATGGTCTGAGCAAAGACCAGAGTGGGGCGGGGGAGTGGGCTCTGTGCCTTGTGATCTGTGCCTTCTGAGAGCCAAGGGAGGGTACTTGGTTGGGGCTGGAGAATTGTGATTTAGAAGCAGAGTGAACTGGTTCAACAACAAGCCCTATTCTCAAAGAGCCAGGGCTGAGCATGGTTTCCTGCCTCTGAGTCTTCTATTTAAATCATCTGGACTGTGCAGCCTGCAGATGTTGCTGTGTGGAAACCTCATGGGGTGAGAGGTCATCTTTGTGCACAGCTTGGTTTTCATTGGTTGTCCTCAGCTGACTTTAATGCTCTGTCTCTGCATACACTTAAATCCGGAATTTGTCTCCAATGAAATGACTCCTCACTCTCGTGTTTTGCTGAACCGTAAAAGAATTATGTTTGTGTCTATGGTAAAATGGATTTACATACATTCACTAGCATACATGCCTAACTTGATCTTAGCCCAAAGAGATTTCTTGGAAATAAAACAAGGCAAAAATTAAAGATAGCTCCATTTTTCCTGTTCTGTGGGTCTCCGTGGAGCTACTATTGTGTTTGTGATACTCAGAGTGGAAAAATCAAACAGAAAATTGGATTCTTGAGAAAGAGGACTTGATGTATGGGGTTAATCCATTTGGCTTCTTCAGATCTTTTTGAGCAGACAGTGCTTAATGGAATAAAAATAGCATCTTTGAGGAAAAGCAGGTTATCTGATAAGGCTGCTTTTTCTCATTACATTAATGTTGCTTTGATAACACATTTTAAAGTGTTTTTTTATTGAAAAGGAAAAGTCCCAAGAGAAAGTGTAGACTGAAAAATAGGGCATGATAATACTTGAAAAGCTACAACTGAAGAACATTCTAAAAGTCCTCTCAGCAGGGCAGTGCGGCTGACTGTAAAGGTGAAACTGGGTCCAAATTTAATGAAAGGGAAGATTCCATCCCTTTCTCTCTCCTTATGGTTGGGTCTCAGAGGCTAATTGCTATGGCAAGTTTAGGTATTATTTCCCAACAAATTTCTTGGAAAGAAGGACAACGACTATTAGAAGAGCTAAAATTGAGGGGCATCTGGGTGGCTCAGTGGATTAAGCCGATGCCTTCGGCTCAGGTCATGATCTCAGTGTCCTGGGATTGAGCCCCGCATCGGGCTCTTTGCTTAGTGGGGAGCCTGCTTCTCTCTCTCTCTCTCTCTCTGCCTGCCTCTCTGCCTACTTGTGATCTCTCTCTCTGTCAAATAAATAAATAAAATCTTTAAAAAAAAAAGCTAAAATTGAAATCAGGTGTGGATAGATTGTTAATTTAATTTTTTTATAAAATCTTAAAAAAAAGATTTTATTTATTTGACAGAGAGAGATCACAAGCAGGCAGAGAGGCAGGCAGGGGGGGGGGGAAGCAGGCTCCTCGCCCAGCAGAGAGAATGTGGGGCTCGATGTTGGGCTCAATCCCAGGATCCTGAGATCATAACCTGAGCCGTATGCAGTGGCTCAACCCTCGAGCCACCCAGGTGCCTCTATAGTGCTACTTTTAAAACAACAACACACCTGTAATACCGTGGGCAGGCTCTGGAACACTTAGTAGGATTTGTATATCTCACCGGCTCAGGTGAGATTTAATGAAGTTTTTTTTCAAAGATTTTATTTTATTTCTGAGAGAGAGAGAGAGAGCGCGAGCACAAGCAGGGAGGAGGGTCAGAGGGAGAAGCAGATTCCCTGCTGAGTGGGGAGACTGATATAGGGCGATCCTGGGACTCCAGGATCATGATCTGAGTGGAAGGCAGACACTTAACAGATTGAGCCACCCACGTGCCCTAAGAGATTTAATGAAGATTATCAGGATAAAGGTGGAGAGGAAGAAATTGCGTTGTTTATGAAATGACATTTATAAAAATTTTTGGTAAATTATTCCCATTAGCAAAGTGGTTAATAAGGTTGGCTTTTAGGTTTAAGTTCAGTTAGTGAAGTCTCCAGGTCAGGAGCTTGCCAGATGAATAAGAAATGTGTAAGTCTCTCCCACACACTGACTGAGCCTATGGTCAAAATGTTATAGGTTGTTTCTGGGTCATTCCCTTTTACAAAGATGTATCTACAGACAGAAATTTAACAAAACTTTTCCCCTCCCTTTTTCTTAAATATCCCCTTGGAGCCTTCTGAGATGTTTCATTTAGTGGTTCCCAAATCTGCTGCCCACTGGGACCACCTAAGTATTTTAAAAACGACCAATGCCTGGCTCTCACCTCCAGCTATTGTAATTTACCTGGGATAAGCTGCAGAATGGGGAATGTTTCTAAAAATCTTTTTTAAAAATCTAACCTTTCTGTAATTGTAGATATGTATGCATTTGTAAGAAATAATATAGAGAGATTCCTTTTATTTATTTTTTTTTTTACCCAGTTTCCCCTTAGGGGACCATCTTCCATAACTGTAGTAGAATATCACAACTAGGTATTGATATCGATATAGTCAAGATACAGAACATGTTCATCACCACAAGGGCCCCCCCTCTCATGTTGGTCATTTATAATCAAACCCACTTCTCTGCCCACTCCAACTCCTCGTAACTTTTGGCAACCACTCAATCTGTAC